ATCCCGTAGAACGAACGATGTATTCACCCAATTTCGTTTAAGGTGATGAAGAACTGGTAGAAGAATTTTCCCACAAGCATGAGTGGAATTGACATTTCCATTGAATTTCAAAAAGCCTAGCTTTCCCAAAAGTTGTTCTCATCCAGGTCAGTTCTTTTCATATCATTGTGGGGAGTTCAACCACCAGTCCTTTATCACCTTAAACGAAATAGGGTGAATACATCTCATATTAGTGATTTACTGGTAGTCTCGAAAGTCTACTTGCATACGAAACATTATACATTTTATGTGAATTACGAGCAACTTCACCTCAGGACGAGCAGCAATATTGTGAGAACAGAACATGGGTAATTAGGACAAGGCGCCTGGTGTTACGAACGCATTCGCATCAATTTCGCATATCTACAAGCATGTGGTGAGAATTGGAAAGAAGCGAACCACACCACGAGATGAAAAAATTATGCTCAAAAATCATTTGATTGATTAGTAAATAATATTCTATCAAATCTATACTACAAATGCTAAATACTAATTAATTAATTAAATTAAGATAGCAAAAGTGTGTTTTATTAAGTTGTTCAGATTGCTGCTAGCCCTTCTTTATTATGAGTTTTCTTAATGAAGGTTTTTGTGCTGTATAGTCATCTGTCACAGCGAGAAAGAAGATAGCTCAGCACAGATTCTTTGGATTTGCGAGATGGTGTACAGAGGTGGCAGCAGTAGTAATTTCGTGCGTCACTTTTGTCCGAGGCGAATTATAGAAGGTTTCTGGGGCTGGACTACGCACATATAACACTTTCGTGAATAAATTCTAGGTTTTTTAATAAATGCTCGAAATATTAATATCCACTAAGTGGTAGTGGTAAATAGTACATATTGCAATTCATATTTATAACCGAATATTTAATGATGCTAAGTAATTCCAAATCAATCAGTTAATTAGCTCACTTAAAAAGTTTTCCCTGAAATTATATAGGTTAAGTCCGTGCTTCATTTATGAACACTGGAGCCTACTTTGAATGTCCCAATAGAGACCTCAATAAACCCTATTTGACCATTACTCACGCCACATTCTTATTAGACAACCTCCCTGAGTCTCTACAGAGGCATAAGACAGTACATGTCTTGACAACGCATTACATACACTTTGGCCAGTAAGTATATTCCATAGGATTACCGATAGTCACTCATAAATGCAGCTTTATCAAAAGACATTGTCTCGAAAAGTAAGACTCATAAGCCTCAAAGTGAAGAGCATAGTAAATATTCGATTCGGGGATGCATTTGTACGTCTAAATCGGGACCGAACCAACATGCTTGGCACACGAGCCTGCTACAAAGGGTGGTGGCAGGAGAGAAAAATTTTATGTCGCCTTCGGCGAATCCTCATGGGATGTTGCTATGAGGATTTGGTAAATTAAGCCATGACTGTTAGCAAAAAACCTTCCCAATCGGTACCGATTGAGAAAATAGCATCATGAGGCCTACAAACTTCCGTGTAAGAAATCCAACTATCATTTTTTTCGTATTAAAGTAGAGTTCCGAGAGTATCAGTAAATCAGTAATATGAGATGTATTTACCCAATTTCGTTTAAGGTGATGAATGACTGGTAGTAGAATTTTTACCACAATGATATGAGTATAGCTGACATTTTCATTGAATTTCACATAGCCTTACTTTCCCAAAAGTTGTTCTCATCCAGGCAACAGTGTTGATAAGACCGATGCGAGGTCGAAACTGCAGTCCACTGGTGCCTGGATGAGAACAACTTTTGGTAAAACAAGGCTGTGAAATTAAATGGAAGTATCAGCTCTACTCAGAACATTGTGGGAAAATGCAAATACCAGTCATTCATCACCTTAAACGAAATCGAGTGAATATATCTTATGTAACCAAGTTACTGGTGGCTTTGAATTCCTATTTATACATGAAAAACAAACATGTCAACAAACGCTAAGGAACTCAGATAAATTAAATGTACGCAAACATTTGACACAGTGGGACCATCCCAAAAGTAACTTCGGATTTGAATGTGAAACGAAAGGCGGAGGGATCTAAATCAAAACAAGACATATATGGTGTAGTTTAAACGGAATTACGACTAAGTAATAGAACCTAACTCGAGTCTAACGAGTTCTCTTAATGCTAGACAAGTAATGAGCCCGTGTTGACCATAACTCCGTAAATGTGAAGATTTCAGAAAACGTGGCTAAATCATGAGCCGGTCAAAAAGTGTTTATATAACTAAATATCAGCTCCGTATATCAGGCATCGATATACAAGACTTTATTTTCAACACTTACGTAATCAGTGGGCATCGAAGCTACTAATAGATCATTTGTTATCACAAGTCACTTTAGATCGCTTAAGGAGATGTAAGGATTTCGTTACAGCGAAATAAGCAAGCCTCCGTATTCCAGCGAATTTCAATTAGCCTTGCATTCCAAAAGGCAATCTCATCCCGCCTAGACTTAAATTTAATTTTGGTCTAAATTGCCTTAGCAACCCAGTTAAGTTCTACACCGAATCGTATGAGTCAAAGTATAGCCATGCCACTTGGCCAGACAGCCTGGCTGCTAGTGGGTCACAAAGAAATTTAACTTTCAAAATAAACCCGACTTTTTCCTACTCACTTTTATGACGAATATTAAACAAACCTGTATGTGTCATTAATTTGGGCGTAGTGAGTGCTTCGAAATTGAAGATGCATTAGACTTTCAATTACATCGGGCGACTGAAGGCGATAAATTGCTGTTTTAAAATCAACTATGCCTTGAAGCCTGCCCAGTATATAGAGCTCGACGGCAAATACAAATCTGTCTTATTGACAATATTAGTATTAAAATGCAAAAAAGGGGAATCCCGGCTTATATTAAAATTGGAATCCACCCCAAGCCAATGGCACTCGGACTGAGGCTGGCGAGATTGTAGCTTGATACGCACTACCCCGATTCGAAATCCACTGAGTGTTAAGGAGACCCATGCCAAGTTTAAAATGTAGTCCAGTATAGAGAAAAAAGCCTTTGTGTAATGTGAAGTAAAATTTGATGGCATTATTAAGCCTCCCTCCCATTTCGTTGTGGGAAATCTAACTCCGTCAATTCATCAGCCATATCAGCCTAAGATATCCCGTGCCCATAGAAATTGAGATGTGAAGTAGCACATCCAAAACCTGTTACGTCTTCTATCGCTCTGACCACAGATTTCTGTCCATAAAAGGAATCAGAAAAATAGGACGCGTATCCCGAAGCCAATAGTGATTATAAAAAAATTATCTGCTAAAGAAAGATGAGTATAAATACCCATTCATAAACTATGAAAGAAAAAGAAAAGATTTCATAAGGATTTTTGCATTATCTGTTTTAACGTGACAAAGGTAAACGCTGACAGAGATAATGAGTAGTTGGAAAGCCGATACGATCAGTGTTTGTCTACTTTGTCAGCCTAGCCACGCAGAAAAGAGCTCTGCTATAAAAGTTTGTGAAAGAGCCAAGGCAAGAAGACTATCAAACATAGCTGATGATGAAATTAAAGAGAAAGGAGAAAAGCAGAAGAATATAATTGGATCAAAAGGCGAAGGTGAAATATGTGCATATGGCTTTGTAAGTCCCAGCGCAAGCTGGACAAAGCGAAGGATAGAGTCAAGATAGTAAGTGTGGGAGTAAACGGAGACGGATAGTAATGGAAGGGAAATAAGTGAATGGTCGCAAGAGGGCAATGTTACGAAGTTGAAAGCATAATGAAAAAGTAAGCGAGGTGCATAAAGTCCTAAAGCCTGAGCTTACAGCGATAGTGATTACACAAGTCCCAAAAACTTTGAGGTTACAAAATTTCCTATTTGGCAAACCAAAACCCACAAAAAAATATTACATGTTCTTGATCTGGTGATTAAACAACATGCTGAGAACCAGCCCTCATCGTTAATCAGGACCACTATAAATAGACAATGACATGAATAAGATGAACCTGTGTAATGCAGTAAACGTCAAGATATTATTTTTTAAAGCATGTGCACAAACAATCTTCTCAGAGTGACTCATGGACCAGTAAAATAATTACGACTAAAAGATGCAAAGCCAGATTTACAGGAAAACCAGTTTCTCATAAAAAGACGGAATCTTAATTGCTGATATTAGACAGTATATCATTATCGTTTCAAAAAGTGATAAACTTGTGGCGCCAGACTTATTTTCAAATAGATCCAAGTGCACTCCCTAGAAATAAGTCTAAGATCCAAATAGAATTAAGTAAGAATTAGAGCAAAAGGATCCTAACATTACGACGCCATACGACGAAAGGTTATTCGCAACTATAAAAAATGTTCTATAAAAATGTACAGGGAAAGATGGTTAGACAAAGATAAAATTCAACATAACCTATAAAATATAGACATTGTCCATTACCAAAAGGCGAATGAAGAGGTAGGAAACAAGAGTAAATGATTATGGAGTTCAGTGCGACACGTGCAATGAGATAGGGGAAAATGTGAAACAGCCAAAAGTTGATGATAAGTTGACGCAAGCAAGTTTAATTTTCCATAAGGGTGATAATTAAAATAGGATAAGACAAGCAAATATACTTATACTAAAGAGGTCATAAAGCATTCGGATAAGGTAACCGTGTGACAAAAAAAGTTAATAAGCAATATCGGGGGGTAAGTAGACGTTAAAAGAGCGGTACAAAGTAAGGATTATCGAAAAGGAATATAGTAGCACAACAGAATAAAGTCTATCTAAAAAAGAACGCCCAATCCTATGTTAGTCAAAGTTTAAAACGAATTTGGTGCGAACGCGTTAGAAATCAGGAATTCACAAAGGAGGGTACTATTTTAAACCTCGCCGCCTGGAGAGAGAAGAGCTGAATTGTCAAGCCCAAATGCCTTATGTTTAAGCACTAGTAAGCTATCTGAATCGTCATAGAATAGACCAAAAATAGTCAAGCCAAGAAAGAGAAGATACAAGATATAGGGGCTTAATGAATGAAAGAGGTAAGAGCGATATTAATCTTCATCTAACTGCTTCAGTTGAAATAGTTCATTATCGTAAGGACGTGCACGAACGACGCGACCTCCGAAAAAGCGTCCATTCAAGGCAAGGCAGGCAGCCTTAACTGCTTCAATGGCGTCGAAATGTACAAATATACGCACCTCCTGTTGTGGAGTCAGATGCAATAGAAGACGGAGCACTTCACCATAATTGGAGCACTCTTCTTGCACTTCTTCCTCCAGTTCCGGATCCACCTCCTCTACTGAAGCCATGTTTTCGAGCAGCAGCACACTGAAAATGATTTTATTTTAAAAGAAAAACTTTAAAACTGAAGTGCATCTTAAGTGTATAAACAGCATCATATTTCCTTCTCTCACACAAGCATCTCACCTCGAATCAGCACTTGTGTTTACAGATGAAATGTTAAAATAAAAACTCGCAGAGATAAGCGAAAATTAATGCCTTAGCATAACTGAGAGTTTACTAGAAGGTCTATGGGCTTGTGAGCACATCTCAGAAGATTCAAAGTCATTCGATGAAAATTTAATAGCAGCTAGTTAACAGATAATAGACAGAGAAGTTCGAAGTATAACAAAAGTATACGATTTAAGACAGAGCTTCAAAACGTTTTGGATCAATGTTTTAGAAGAGGAATTATTCAATAGATTATTTGCTTATCTTTTCAAATAGAGGATCGCCTCTGGCGTGTGGAGACAAGATGAAAAACGAGGCAAATCCGAATAGTATCAATTATGCAGGATATACCAGTCCTAGTATAAGGTAAGGTTGGCAGTATTTCATTTCGGGATGTGACGATGCTGAAGAGTAATGCTACCAAAATTATAAAAAAAACCTATTATTTTGTTGTTTTAAAGCAACTCACAATTAATATGCGGAATACAGAAAGTTTACTGCATATAAAGGTTTGAACCTCATCGATGGTGCTGCTGAGATCCGGGAATAGTCAAAACGGTATTCCGTGAATTTGAAAACAAGATCAAGCCAGGGAATCAAATCACACTTTTCAGGAAAGAGACGAATGATCACCTTTAATCAACTGATTAAAATGCACCAAGTGCTAGACTGCAATAGATTAATAAAAATGGGTTGACCTCGTTGTCGCAGTTTATATGTTTGAAACTCAATGAATTAAATGAGAGGCTATCAAACAGGGTGAAACTTTCATATGAATTTTCTCAAAAAATCAAAAACATAGCACAGCAAGAAACGGATTTATTGGTAAGTTTCGATGTAGAATCCATGTATACAAATATGTCTGGAGAAAATGCGCTAACGGCCTGCTGGAAATCCTGGACCGAGAGGAGGATATCTTGGAATCACAAAGGATCGGTATGGAGTCGTTAACAAGACTAATCAACTTGACAATAAGGACAACCTATTTTACATCCACCGGGAATAGCCATGAACAAATATACGAACGTCCCATGGGATTGCCGCTCTCATCACTTTTGGCTAACGTATACATGAACAAAATAGAAGAGAAGTTCAAGATGGCATCGCTACAACTGGCAGTGCTCATGCGGTACCTGGACGATTATTTCGCACTTTGGTCATATAAAAGAGAAAAACTGGAAGAGTTTATGTAGTTTGTAAACCATATTGATTAAAAAGTTTAATTTACGATGGAAGTAAAGGTAAGCGGTTACCGTTTCTGGACGTTGAAGTGATTCAGTCTAATGGGAGGCTCAAAAAGAAATTGTTCAAAAAGAATTCCTATGCTGGGATAATACTCAATTTCAGGTCCCATCACAATTACAGGCTAAAGATAGAAATAGAAGTTGTTTGACCTTTATTTCGCAACTTGGTCATATTGGTACAAAGGCTTAGAGGAATGCACCTTGTTCTGAGTCCATTGTATGCATAATTGTTTGCAAAGTCGAACCGTGGACGTGGTACATTCCCAGACTTTTAGCCGGCATCGTCAGTGAGTTTTGCCATTCGTAGCAGCATATTACAATTCGGTAAAGAGACAAGTGAAGCCGATCCTTTGACGAAACGTGTGCTAAACAGTCATGGCCATGGCCTATCACATTTTCTATATCCTCCAATCACGCCTTCACTGTCACAATATCTTACTTGCTTAATTAAATGTAGTACGGTGTGCCCTTTTTTAATTTTATTTTTAATAGCGGCTGTTATGAGAACCCTCCGCACTCCCCGCTGTCCTTCATACCACCCTTCATCCTTGTGCTGAGAATGTTCATCAGAGTCTGCCATATTGTTACGCCGTTCTCCTTCCCTAGGTCTTACCCCAGTCTCTCTCTTGCCCCGTAAGATCCGTCTGCCCTCTCCCTCGTTCACATATTTCACTCGACCCCTGCC